TCGAGGAGGGTCGCGAGGATGGGCTCCGTGATCAGGTTCTTGGAGAAGTCGAGCAGGAGGCGCACGGGGGGCTCGTCCGAGACGTACTCCCGGCTGAACTTGGAAAACCGCTCGGGGTCCTGCGCGAAGAGGTCTTTGAGGACGAGTTTGTCATGCTGGGTGTCGTAGAGCTCCTGGAGCTTCTTCCAGGCCGCGTATTCTGGCAAAGTTGTTAGCTACCGTTCTGACTGCCCCGAGCTACGACGCAAGGAGTGCAGTCGGACGAGACTCCATTCCCGCCGGACACGCAGGAGCACCTTCATCCACCACCTGATACCTCTCCTTGCATCTGCCCTCCCAGATGCACTGGCTAGTGCGGCCTACGTGAGCATTGAATCCCTCCAGGCGTGCTGATCCGTTGCGCGGAAGTCCCATCCTACGACCCTCCTCGTTCCCCACTTCACAACGCATAGACAGGCACGACAGACTCACCGGTTGCAAGCTTGCCGCTCATGATGGTATGTTACAAGATGTGTAGAAGTAGAAGGGCAGGGAGATGGTGACCGTGTCGTCGAAAGAGCGTTGGGGTTTATAATGTTGGCGTCACCGTGGATGCTATCGCGATCGTGCGAACCGATACTCCGGATCTCCAGTGCCCACCGTCTCCGGCTTCTCCCCGTTCCTCAGCAAACCTCTCCTCATCGTCCGTTGCGAACGTGTCTTCTCATGCAGTGGTACGGCGGCAGGAACCATTCTCAGAGAAAGAGCACGGCTTGACCGCGTTTGGGGCGTTTTTCCGAGCTTGGTGGGAGTTACTAAGTAGTAGGACCGCCACCTCGGGCTCGCCCGCGGCTACATCGCCGGCCCGGATCTCCAGTAGAATGCACCGTCAGAGGCAGCTTGTAAGTATGTGATTAGTCGAGCTGGTGGCAGCCGTTCTCAGTGAGACACAGCAGACAAGTAAGTAGCGAAGGCGAACGCGATCGTTACTAACTGTTTATGGAGGGTAGGATGATACACGAGGAGTGTGCACATTGCACAAAGTATACAAGCTGAATGCAAGCGTGCAAACACTGTCAGGATAGCGAGTGATTCTTCTCCGCATTTGGCATGCAAGCCACGTTCATAGATTCGCACCTAACGTCCAACCAAGCATGAAAAGGCTGGTAGATCCAGGAACGATCGCAGTCTTGCGCAAAGAATGGCCGATTCTGTTATGAGTTGACTGTTACATCAAAGATCCCGGCTGTACTAGCGTTTGCTAGCCCTGGAGGTTTCTGCGCAAACGGTGTCAATGGTGGTCTGCATAGGTAGTCTGTGCAGTGGGACGCGTCCCTGCTGTGGTTCAAATCGACCTCGAGACGAACGTGAGATACAGTGCCATCTCACGTTCGTGCGTCCAATACTTACCGTAGGCGGCATCGGGTTGACTGAAGGCGGGTACAGAGGATTTGGGCGAGTTCTAGGAACCTTGTTATGTTCTGTGCCGAAGTGTACGAAGCCTCCTCGTCGCCGGAGTCGCCTCCAGACGGCGAAGGGAATATGTTCCCGACTGCTTCGGGGAGAATAGAGGACTGGGGGAACGAAGTGGCCTGTGGATTCCGTAGCATGTCGTGCTTGAGTAGAAAGGACTGGAAGACCTGCAGTGCAGCTGTGGAATGGGATGAAGCAGGACGACCTCCGGCGAGCCTCAGGGGCCTCCAACTGCAGCGGCATCGTCGCAGTACTTTTCATCCGTTTTGTGATTCGCCTCCGGCTCTGCCTTGGCACTGCGGGGAAGCTCATCGCCAAGCGCGACCATAGGATACACTCGATTGCGAGGGTGGATGAAGTCTTCGGAGCTGTTTCTAAGGGTGTCCCTCTTTCACGGGGAAGTCAATGAGTATATTGGCCAGCAGGTCGTTCTCGAAGGACATGGACTGCCACTACGCTGCCATCAAGCGTTCGAACATCGAGGGCTAGAGGATGTTCTCGACATTTGAGTTCGACGCTAAGTATCACGGGCTCACTGCTAGTACGATTGGATCCATACGCACGTCGGCCTACTGGCGTAGCGAGAACATCGCGAAGATGTCATTTTTGCTGAGCAGGTAGACGTCCAGAGGAGGTTTAGCGCGCCCAAGCTGGTTCATTCGAACCGGACAGAACTTGGAAGTAACATCGAAGCCGCCCAGAACGGCGCGTACGTCCGCCGAGTGACGGCAGCGCATGCGAAGCTGGAGGTCAGGAGTCGAGGAGGACGAGGGAGGAACCGGAATAAGCGAGGAGAGCGGGAGGCTCGAGCACGCCTGGACCGCCGGCACAGAGCACGACGCGACACATACAGGGCGCGTACAGACGCCCGTGCCAAATCGGGAATTGTGAGATCTGGCTCTTGTAGAGACGCGCATCTTGGCCACCTCCTCGAGTCCTCCGCTATAAGTACCCTCGTCCCCGCCGTCCCTGTCTACTCCGACTTTCTCTCCCCTCGTCGTTCCCTTCTGCTGCCGTCTACTTCTCCCCGACTTTTTGACCAGGCTGCGGAGCACCGTCATCACTCATCGCTTACCCAATACAGCCTGGATTGCCGAAGGCGGGGTAGAAGGTCACACGAACACTATCCACCTGAGCACTAAATAGCACTGTCTTCCCCGGACTCGTACAGCGTCCGACAAAGCTCCAAACACCTCATCCTACCCGCGCATCTGACCGCGACCACCCTCGACGCTCGACACGCAGGCCTCAGCAGAACGCACCCCTTCGCGCTAGCGGAACATCCCTCGACCTTTCTCGCTGATCGGGCGCACACAAACTACGCGAGCCCTCCCACGTTCTCGTCTTAATACTCCGCCATATATACCTCCACATCTCGTCCGCCCGCCCGCCCCTGCCAGTGCTTCTCTCGCCCCACCCTCATTTCTTGCGCTATGGCTGACCAGCAACCGTCATCATCCTCCTCCGCACCGCATCTCAACCCCGAGACCCAGCCCCAGCCATCCTCGCAGCTGCCGCGCCCCGCATCAATCGAGAACGAACTCCAATCGCGGATCGATGCGTTCTCACCCCTTTGCCCCTCTGCACGCACGTCATATACCCGTGTAGACTTCACCGTCGGAACAGGAGCGAATACCCCTAGGAGAGACTTCACAGGAGACGTGGACGGCGCAGACGGGGAGGATCGGGATGACGAACGCGACCCCGCAGGGGCGCAGCTCGCGGAGGAGGCTATCCCTCAAACTCCCCAGGTCTCGCTGACGTTCCTGCTGGTCTCAGGCCGTCGCCGGACGATGTCCTTCGAGCCGGAGACGACCGTCGGGAGAGTGAAGGAGCTCGTCTGGAATACTTGGCCCAACGGTGAGCACCCTGGCCCAACTCTGGGAGCGCTCGGGGCTTCTATGGCTCGCCGTAGAAGCTCCATCGAAATCCCAGGGCGCATGATGGATGGGGCGTATTCCTGACCGTGTCTTCGCGCAGATTGGCAGGACGAGCGGCCGCCGGCGCCTTCGTACCTCAGGATTCTGTACCTCGGAAAGATCCTCCAGGACGAGGACTCGCTTGACAGTGCGTCCCTTCCTCTACTACCATCCATCCTTTATACTGACACATTTGTCGGTTAGAACTGTCATTCCCCACACAGCTACCGTCCCCGGCGCCCTCTGCGACGATCGTGCACCTGTCTATCCGACCGTACGCTCCTCCGCCCGAGGACATGCCCAAGAAGAAGAGGCGGAATACCGGCGGACAAGCCGGGACCGTCGCAGAGGGCGCAGAGGAGGAAAGTGCGGGCTGCTGCAGCTCATGCGTTATTTGCTGAGCGTCTGCGCGGAGCAAATTCATGGTAAGTTCGAGCGCCTCGACTGCTAAACGCCAGGGTTGTCAAACCTGACTGAATTGACACGGCAGCTGTGCGCGGCGACAGCCCATGTCCGCCCGCCGGTGCTCATATCTGCGTCGCCTGCCTTCGGGGCTTCCGCAAAATTTGCGCCCGACCTGTTCCGACGCCCTCTGGACCCCCACCGTGCTCGTTATGAGCACTTCGCTGCCGATCCTGCCTCTTCCACCTACCCGTGATTTCCTTTCTTACGGCAACCTTTAACTTACGATATACCCATCGGGCCATATGATCGACGGTGTACACCCCGCCTAGGCCTTTAATGCTCGGACTCCAGGAATGGACCTCCATCTACCACTTCGAACTGCTGCCTGTGCTAGCTCCCCGCCATCTACCTCTACCTCCCTGCTCATGATCTCTTATGACCCGTAACGTCCTACGACTCCCGATCACCCATTGCCAAGCCCTCGCAAGGAATGCCGCGCGCCTAAGCGCACCAGCGTCAACTCCCGCGAAGCTTGACCGTGCTACTCGCCATTCGTCCTCACCCGTGCCGCGTCTGCATCGCTCCATCCGTCGCGGGAGTGCTCGAGCTCTGACCCGTTTCACCCCTCCCGAGAATCTCTTACCATTCCCTCAACTCATCTCGACGTCTCGCCTCGCCCCTGTTCTTTCCTTGTCGACGCTCGGCACACCCCTATGCTCCCCTTCTCCGCAGTGCGCGGAGGGGGAACACCGCCTGCCTCGGAAGTCGTTCACCGTACGCTCTGTTCATCTGTATAGTAGCTAGCCTCACGCAACGCACCGTTCTCTTGACTGCTGTCTGCCTGGGATTTCGGTGAGGTGGCCCTGCATACGCACGGGCGGGAATTAATGTCGATAGAGTGCTGGGGTCGTGAAGCCTGAGATTTGAGAGGTCAAGGCCGTACGAAGGCCTTAGGATCCGCGTGTGATATTGACTTGGGTGTATGCTGTGGATACTGCTACTGATAGTGACAGTGTGCGGACGCTGTTAACGCTCTTTGATGCTCTCGACGCGCTGTTGTACCGCGTAGGGACCCCGTCGGAGGTTTGAGGTTGATATTCATGCTTGACAGCTTGAACCTCGGGAGTGACCGTGCTGGTCAGCTAGCTGGTTCCAGCGGGTCCCTTGCCGGGTCCTCATCGCCAGTGTACGTAGCAGGCTTGCTCTGACAAGCGATGCCTTTACGGCGCTATAGTGTAGTGGTTATCACTTGGGATTCTGATAACACATTCCCAAAACCCAGGTTCGAGCCCTGGTAGCGCCTTCATCTGGGTCAGATACGTGTTTTTCCTGGACGATCCCAAGCCTTTTGCTGCAATACAGCCTGGTACTTTACTGTACATCACACTTCGTTCCATCGACAAACCCAACACTGGCAGTGGAAATTCGGACGAGCCCCAATCACTTTCATTCCCCCTCATGCTGAAGTCTCCATAGCCCTTGGCAGGAGCTCGGGCCGGAAGGCACTACATAATGGTCCCAAGTGTTGCAGTTGCATTATGTATAAACTGCACCACAAGCCGCCCAAGGATTCCATGCGTGTCAAACGACGTACATTAACCTACAGCTAACCTCCGGAAATCGGGAGTCCCCCCACAAACCCCTGTACGGCGTGCTCCGTCACAACAACATCCTTTGCCGCCCCCAGATCCTGAAGCCCCTTCTCGTAGTCAGCATGCGGCATGCCTGATCTCGTGGCGTAGTCTGTCTGGCCCCCGTAGCTCATTGTTGTGGTAAAGAGCGTACAGGACTGATCCCGGGTCCATGCTCTTCGTGAGAGGATGCGGAGGATGATCAGAAGGGGCGAGATGCACTGACACTCACTGTCAGTGTACGGTGTCTTTGACGGGCACACAAATCACGTGAAGAAAGAAGACGCACAGTGAACATGGCGTAGAACGAGAACGCGTTGGCAATGTCGCTTCCCACAGCATAGGTGACGAGGTAGACGGCGCTGAAGATCGTAAACGGGAGAGCAGACTCGACCATGATGGCCACCGCCCCGATGTAGACGCGGAACTCGTCGTTCGAGTAACCCAGGCGCCGCCCCACTGCGACGATGCGCCCGACGATGAGCGAGGTGACGAGGACGTTGAATGCGAAGGTGAATGCGGTGTATGCGTTCACGAAGATCGTTGAGACGCCGGCGAAGTAGTTGCCGTCCGGGCGTCCAGTTTCGTAAAGGAGGCCTATGCCAGATACTGTGGGTTTCGAGAACATGAGGTTCTGTAAGAAGGGCGGTAGGTAGGAGACTCGTTCACCTAAAGAGGCGCACCATAGGATACCAGGCAGTATCACGATGCGCCGGCTATTCCAGATGACGAAGCACCTGTATGCCTGATGCCAAACAGTCACTTTACGACATTGGGTAGGTTCACGATACACTCACAAGAAGTGCATCGTTCATCAGATTGCACAAGACGGAGGCGGCTATCCCCCAGACCTGGTACCAAACGGAGCCGAAATCGGCCCAGTACGCATCAGCGCCGCCTGGGTAATCCGCGTGGACTATCCACATCATCTGGCCGAAGTACGCTTGCGTAGTCCAGAAGACTGTATTCAGCAGGACAAGAGCAGTGCTGAACGCCGCGAGGAACTTGTCCATAGACGTTCGCTTTCCGTTTCCGTAGATGTGGCGGAGTATCCCGAAGTATAAGACGAGCTCGACGCCTGGGTACGGAACCTGAGTGAGATTGATAGATCTTTGACAGAAGAAGTGAATTCGGGACTGACCGTACAGGACGGCGTTGACGAGGTTGACTACATAGTATGAGTTCTGGAAGAGAGCTCCCGCCATGAAGGAGCTAGAATGCAACGGCAGCTAGGTACTTCACTGGATTCCACGGACCCCAGAGTCCGGGTTATATAGAACTGGTCGCATTGCGATTGGTTACCTCTTGAACTTCGCGCTGGAACCTTCCATTCCTGTCTTGACACGCCGCCATTAGCTTTACCACCGATAGTGCGCGCCGGGGACATAAGGCGGTATGCGGTGGAAACTGCGAAAACACATACCTGTGCCGATACCCAGTATGTCGACCCGGAATCAGCGACTTGCGGTGTACACATGTCAGATGCGTGTGAGCCGTCCGGGGAGTTGGCACGCAAACCCCGGATGTGCCACACGACACGCTCCCCGGCGCGGTGTCTTCTGAATGGCGCTGATGCGACTTTGTCTGGCTTCAGCGCAGCCGCTGCACTGCACCCGTGGCGCACATGAACTGTGCCTCCCTCTAAGTTGTCAATCGTAGCGCCTGTTCAGCAGGATTATAATCCGTGATTGTACATGCACCACGTAGCGGACTGACCTCATCAGCAGATGTATCGGGGGAAGGCATCCTGCGAGTGGCGCTTCAGAGAGCGCTTGGAAGGAGTACGTTCATGAATATGCAGAAACACACAGCCAAACGATCCCCTCGAAGTATTGACGACGGATGGATACGATACGCGCCGGGAAGCCGTCAGACAGAGGAAACGGCGACATTGAGAACATCACAGGAGTAGTCGAGGAAGTAGCGCTCGGAAGTTGGAGCGTTTCCCTCTGAGCTCGCACCGTGGTAGGCTACCTTCTCGTATAGTCACGCCGACGTCCGCAGGGTTAAGAAAACGGATGGTGGTTGGTAATGACGATGCCCGATTCCTTCCATCATGTCGGCTACGACAAGACATGGAAGCCTGCCACATGCGGTCACTAAACGTACTCGACACTGGCGCAGGCCTTATACACATGTCGACGGATAACTGCTGGATTGAGTGACTCGACGCTCGATAGTTCCTGTTACCCAGGAAGGACATGTGAGCACGTACTCATACAAACACTTCCGTGAACGATGTACTCACAGTCATACCGCGTACTCTGCGTTGTGGGATGCGCGCAACGTCGATACGTTCATTGACGAGTCCGCATCCAGCTTCTTCTCCTGGTAGTATTCCGGGTGGTTCCCTTCGTGCGTTGTGGTATTGACCCGGTCTGAGAAGTTCATGGTGCTCATGAAGCTTGCCGCGGAGTCCCTCTGCCACGCTCGTCGTGTCAGCACGCGTAGAGCGATGAGTTGAGGAGAGATCGCCTGATGGTGAGTAGTATGCATCAGTCAGAGTACAGTAATACGGAACGGGCGGCTCTTGACTTACGGTGAACATAGAGTACCATGAGAACGCGATGGCGATGTCGCTCCCCATCCCATACGTGATCACATAGGCCAAGTTCCCGAGAGTAAAGGGCAGCGCAGACTCGACGATGATCGCCACAGCACCAGTGTAGGCCTTCGTTCCCTCGTCCGTTCCGCTGAGCCGTCGACCGATGTGGATGATGCGACCGCAGATGAGCGACGTGACGATCACGTTGAACGAGAACGTGAGCGAGTTCCAGGCGGTACCGAACTTGGTCGCGATGCCGGCAAAGTAGTTGCCGTCTGGACGACCGGACTCGTAGAGCAGTCCAAGGCAGGACGCTGCGCGCAAGACTTCACTCAGCATGACGAGGCCTACACACGATAGTACGAGCGCACCGCACCGAACGAGCCGAACCAGATAATGGCCGGGACAATGACGATTGGATTGTTATCCCATATCACGGTGAGCCGGTGCATCTGTGTCCGTGCATGACTGCAGTGAGCATCTTCCTGTGTGTATCAGTAAACACCTACTCACCAGAAGAGCGTCCGCCATCAGCTGGCTGACCATGACAGCGGCTGAGCCCCACGTTTGGTACCACACCGCGACGTTGTCGCTCAAGTACGCATTCATGCCCCGGGGATAGTCTGCATGGACAACCCACATCTGTTGCCCGAAGTACGACTGCGTGGTCCAGTATATGGTATTCAGGACCAGGAGCACGGTGCTGAATACGACGAGGAACTTGTCCTGGGTTGTGCGCCGGCGAGTACGCGCGACTTGGCGGAGCGTCATGAAGTATAGTGCGAGCTCGACGCCTGCCACCATGTACTACTGGTCAGCTCCTGCTCTTCTACCGGCTGATAGTGTACGGGGTTGGGACGCAGGGGGGCGTCATACTTGGCCCTGCAATCGAAAGGAACACGCACCATAGAGGATAGCATTGAGGTTGTTCACGACGTAGAACGAGTTTTGAAAGAGCGAAGCGGACATTTCTTCAGAAGTGCGGAGGAGGGTCTAGTTCGACCAAATCCTTCGACGTCTCTTGGCTCATGTACGTACGGCTTCGGCCCTTGCAGTCGCGATGGCCTCGATTCCAATAGCTCCCCGCGAGAACTGTCGAAAGGCCTGGGAGACGTCGCCCCGAAGACAAGGAGTCTGGTAGAGTCTGCTAGCTATCGCGGACACCTCTCGAAGTCAGGTCTGAGAGTGGTCCTTTATGACTGGGAGGCTTATGCAGCGTGTCAGCGCAATCGGTAGAGCGTCGAAGTCTTGGGAGGAAGAGCGAAGGGCATGTTGAAGGCTTGGGCTCGATAAATAAGAGGGCCGAGAGAACGGATGCATGGTTGCAATGGAGAAGTTCTGCTGGAGCTGCAGACGCGCTAGAAGGCGGAACGGAAACTCTGTCCTACCGGGCGCTCCGCTGCCCTGCGAGTCGTGCCCATCCACATGCCGCGTTTTCAAGGCTTGGCACGCCACAACGAGACGTGCGCGATGGAAGAGTCGGTGGGAGGCCCATGTGCCCCGTATAGAACACACATCCGCGCTAGAACGCATGGTCATGGACCGAGATAAACGCAGAGACGAGCAATAGAAGTGCCATATCGCAGATGTTCAAAGTACAACAACATCGTGAGGATAGCAAACAACATCCGATAACATCAACTACCGCTGCTCCCGCGGTTCTGTGGTGAATCTGGTCAGCGCCAATTGTTGGTCTGAACAGACCAGGACGACTTACGTGACCACTGGACACTGAGGATCAGGTTGTCGTATCCACGGCCGTGCATCTTCTCCATCGCTTTCTGCGCTGCCGCCTTGTCCTCGAAGCTGACGAACGCGAAGCCCTTTCCTGCACCAGTCTCGCGGTCGCGTCCGACGTACACACGCGCAACACGGCCGAACACGCCGAACAAGTCGCGCAGGTCGTTCTCCTGCGTGTCTTCTGAGATGTTCGTGACACGAAGCGTGGGGAGGTCGTCTCGCGAGCCGCCTGGCCGTCCCATTGCTTCTCCGGGTCCACGTCCTCCGCCACGCATTGAGGGAGGCACGTATTTGCCACCGGTGGTTGCTGCAGGAGCGGCGGCGGCGGGCTCCGCAGGGGTACCGGTGTCGTCGAGGCCGACAGGGGGTGTGTCTAGTCAGATCGGT